ATCATATTTTCTTTTAATACCGTCAATACAAACACGCAAACATACACAGAGCCATGTTTTTGTATCTTGTGCTAACATGGAACAGCCAATAGGGGGTGATGTTGAATTGAGCACCATCTCACAGTGCTGCTTCTTGTTTCCGTCTTTGATATTCCTACCAACCTGCCTCTGTGATTCATTCCTGTTTGGAATATAGCAGCTGGTCGGTTATCTATAACAATAAATTATTCTTTCAAATACTTTTTTAAAACAGTAGAACATGTCTGAGATAAACAGACATTTTTGTATTTTGTGTTTAGAAGAATTGCAGGCTTATAAATCCACAGCTGATATTAAGAGTCCTAGATATTGTTATTTTCATTTATTTTCCCTCTCAGATTTGTCCATTTGGATTGTATAGAGGAAAGTCACTGTAGTTGTCATGTCACTGATAATTATTCAGGACAGTGCAATCTTTATGTTAATGAATACGGGGGGTGCACTCGCCCAGTGTTCAGACCTTGTCAGTGGTGCAGAGCGCTTTGTTTTCATCATCTTATTGAGCAACGTATGCATGAATAGATCCAATTCAGAACCCACCCTGTCGGTTTTCACTCTCCTCTGTGAGGAGAAAAATAAGATGCAACATTTTTCATCATAACTACAAACACATGTGGCTGTGGAGTGAATGATTGTCAGCCAACAAAGCACAAGCGTGACGTGTGGAACAGGGAATAGGGACAATCTGTTGGAGTGTAGCTCCTGTTTCATGGGAATAAACATCCTAAGGTTGAGAATTCACTATTTGAATTCAGTCGTAGGATTTAATGAAATATAGGACCAGTTTCACCAAGTCTGCATTTTTATTTAACGTGTTTAACATTTTTATTTGAGGGTTACAAGCCAGACTGTCCTGTGAACTTCATTGAAAACTTTATACACTAGGGTCATTGTTCATTTTCAAGGTTTCTGCAGAAAAAATGTTCATTTAATAATTTGAATTTTAGGTGTTAAAAATTTAATTTCTTAAAATGTTAGGTTTTAAATACATTTTGGAAGGTACAAATTTTATTAGCATTAATTTGACGCGTCTTCTTTCATGTTAAAAACAAATTAAATTATTTGGCGGTATGCATAGTTTGTAATGACTCTGTGCGTTGTGGTTCTTTCTTAACAATATGAAATATTAGCACGCTGTAATAGAACTACAAACAAGACCAACGTGGAACTGATGAGTCAAGAAACCTCTCTGTAGGAATTTATCTGAGTACACTCAGCTTAGCTGTGGGAAATACTATGGATGCCTACTGTCTCTGTCTGAGATCTAACGTTGCATATTGGAGTTAATTCTCTACTCGGCTACTTCACCTTATCTTCTGAATGTCATTCTGGGATGCCGATATTCCTCATCTGTCTTACTTGACATAGGACTTAAATTTCATTGATTGTGGTCGTATAAAATCTTAAAATTAACTTATTGAAACCTGCAGAAATCCTGATATCACAGGCCCCTCATCTGCTTCTCTACAGAGGGTCTATTGTTTAACAGACACTTTGTATCTGGTCCCCTGGTCTAGATGCTGTGTCAAACCTTTGAAAAGAAATAGTGAAATGTCACAAATGCATGTGTGGAGAGTTGGCTGCTGTCCTCCACTCCTTGACTGTTTGGACATGCTGTGCGTGCGTGTGTGTGGATGAGCATCTTGTTATTTGACATAATCATATTCATGGCTTTTCTGAGTGAAGCGTTTGCTGGTTGCAGATTAGACTGACACTGTGACCTGCAGTTTGCTGTCATGATAAAGTCGTCCATGTTGCATTTCTCTGGGCTCACATGTAGTAAACATCGTTCTGAAGGGTTAACTGGGAGCATGCTGCGATCCACCTGCTCAGCATTAGCATTCATCACTGTAGGGCTACATGATTCATTCTATTTGAATTTGAACCTCGATCTCTCAAATCTCAATTTTACATGACGACAAATCAACAGTTTGCATGAGCAAGGAGATCTGCCACATTAAACCAAGCGCTCCCTTTACTGCTGCAACAGAGCCTCTACACCATGTGGTGATCTGGAAGATACGATAGCTTTATAAACTGGTCTAATGTGTGTGTCATTGTAAAATAGGAATCAAAAAGAGACAGATAAATGATGATATGCCACTGCTGAGTGTTACTTCAAGCAGTTAATCACTCGTGTTTTACTGTCACCAGCATATTGTTGGTTGCACCTCAGTATTTATAGCGTGAGCGAGCAATAAATAAACATGACTCCGTTCCTGTTTGAAAAGTTTAATTTATGAGACGGTCGGCAGCAGAAAAAGGTTTATGATGTTGTGTTGGATCCTACAGCATAGTACATAATGTTTGGTTTATACTTGTCATTTACACAGTGAGAAGCAGGTACCCTGGCTGTGTAAAGTCTCATTTTTAAGCCAGAATGTTTTCCATCTTATAAAGAAAAGACATACTGCATTTATAACTAGAAGGGCTCTCAGAGAGCATATGTTTCTTCTAAGGGTACCGCCATTTTAAAGAGAGTGCAAAAACAACCTTTTGGTTCTGCTCATAAATGTAATGGGTTCTTCCTTGGTGCTTGTTCTGGCCCCGCCCCTCCACCAAATTTCATGTAAAAACACTTTTTTGAGGAATCCTGCTAACTGATAAACAAACGACAATAAAAACATAACCTCTTTGGAGGAGGTAATAAAGAACAGAAGAAGAAGATAGAGAACATCTTGCTAAAGAAATGTGATCTGATTTGTGATTTGATCTGCTTATCCTGGTTAGATCTTCATCTGCAGAAGCTGTGGGCTCAACACCTTTTTTATAAATATATATGTAAGTCTTAATTTAATTACTGACAGATTGTGACTGTTGATGAGCTCATAAAATAAATCAAGCAGTAAATTCAACTGCTGCCTTGTGGCTCACCTCACTCGGCAGCGTTAATATATTGCATTATAATCTTTAATGCTCTCTGTTGTAATTATATCTGATTCCAGCAGTGAGTACCCACTTAACAAGACTATGAAACACAATCATGCTACTTTTTAATGTTTCTTAATGTGTCACATAAGAACGTGATATTTACGCAACACTACATTAGATACATAATATGTATGTATTCTAAATATAGCTAAAAAGAATGCAGTCTTAAAAGACCTGCAATGAATCTTACCTACAAGGTTTAGTTTTATTACATCTGCCAAGGAGGTTATGTTGTCACCCCCGTCTGTTTGTCGGTTGGTTTGTTTGTTTGTAAGAAGGATTTTACAAAAACTACTTGGTGGAATATCACAAAACTTGGTGGAAGAATGGGCATGGGCCGCATTTAGAATATCGGACAAGATGGTGACCATCCCTTGTACTTTTAAAGGTCTTCTGCACAATTTAAGTTCCCAACTACCAGTAGATGCTAGCAAGTGTTAGTGGCCACTAGTGGATGTTAGGGACATAACTTCAGTTGTGCAACTCAAGTGTTTTGGTCTTGTTATCAAAGACACAGGCTGGAGTTGAGGGTACGCTGAGGCTGAAGGTGAATCTGACTGGCTTGTATGGCAGAACTATGAAAGCCATGTGGCCAGCTCAGTAGATGAGACATCATTGCCTCTCTGTTTTTTTAAACTCAACACTTTCCCATTTTAGAACATAATGGAGAATATCTTTTGTGCGTTCTACAGCACTAATTAATACCTACTGCCAGTTCAAGTTAGAGGATGTGGTGACCACCGTTTGATGCTAGGGACGTGTCTTCAGTTGTGTATAGGAAGACATGTCCCTATAGCAAATAACCAATACAATTTTAGAGTGGCTCCAGAATTGATTTTTTTCCACTTTCTTTTTCCATTTAGAGATTTTCAACATTCTCTTTGATTTCTCAGAGAATCATTCATGGATCTTCTTCGGTGCAGCTTGATTTAATTTGAGAAGACTGTTGGGCCTGGGCGGTGGGATACAGGACTGCATTAGACTGCAATAGTCTTGGCTAAGTGTGTGTAATCATCAGTCATCTAGGATTAGAATTATTACCCTACACACCTTTGGTTTATACAATAATTACCACGACATTGGGCGTTTAAGTTAAGAAAGAAGATTTTCATCCAAACTGAAGTGACATAACTTTATAAATTAAGTGAAACTGCTTAATTCCCAGAGGTCTCGGAGCAAGAGATTGTTGTGTTCACTCAGCTACTGTCCCCTGTGTTTGTGCGCCTTGAACAGACGTGTACAAAGCATTCTGCATTGTCTGTGTATGTGTGCACAGTGATAAATGAGTCACTTCTTATTGTTTACTGATCCAATCTCCTCAGCCAATCAGTGAGCGTGCTCAGGCCTGTCACTGTGTGGTTGTCAAGGTCAAGCCAATCCTGGTTTATTTAAGCGGCGGGCCTCCCTCACACTCTGTCTTATTCATTTTACTGATCAAATATGTGTGTGTTATGGGAGCTGGGGTGGAGGTCATTGAGGGCGATGAAATCGTTGCCCTTTATTAAACACAGTTAATATTCTCTCAGAAAAACCTTGGAGCAAGAGGGAAATGTTATTATTTTTTGATGATAAGATTATTATTGGATCCGACCCCCCCCCACCCCCCACCCAGAAGAAAACAAGTCTCAACCCTTAAACAGACCTTTGAAGTTATGAGTATCAACAAAAATATCCTCACTCCGTCAGTTCTATAACTGAAACTGGTCCTCACAAAGACAGAACTAAAATTACACACACATGCTAAGACGTAGAGCATCAACAACATAAACACACCGCTGTAGTTGATAGCGAGGTGATTACACTTGATAATGTTTTTTCTACTTTGTATCAAAACTAATACAGCTCGCTGTGATAATATCTGTCCTCTGTAATCTCTGCTCGAAATTAAAGGAGAGAAACACAAAGAGGATGCTGCGTCTGGTCTCATTTTGAAAAGAGAAAACGATATGATCTGTCGGCTTTCTCGTCTGTCACTTTCTCGTCGTGTTTTTCCTTGTAATTGCATCTTTTGCAAGACTTTAATGCCTCCCCATACTAATGTGTTGTTCTGTGTTTCTATTTTTCCTCCACAGACCTCAAGACTTCAAGATGAAATGAAATCAAAGCTGCCCGATGTGAGCAGAGCTGAAGATTTTCACATTAATGCTTCACTGGACACAACCAGTTTCCTCACATTTATTTAGTGTAAGGATACATGACCAAGACAGGACTCTGATAGTTAGATTCAAACGTACACAAAAACAGATATTTTTCTGTTCAGGTGAATCAACAGCAGCAGCAGCAGCAGCTCTGACTTCTTTGCTCCTAAACTGGCATCAAAGATCGACTGGACTTTACTAAATCGTAACATAAACGCCCACATCAACAAAAACATTTGTCTTTTTTTGGTCTGAATAATCAGCATGACATTTCCCTGTGTGGCTCAGATCAGATCAAATCAGATTCTGTGGGTTTTTCTGTGATTATAGAACCAATATGGATCATTTCAGGCGTCATTAAAAAATGACATCTATTAGATCCGATCCTGCTTTTTGAAGGTTTGTGGCTCCACACGCAAAACCAATTAATGTGTTACCATGACAACACTCAGGTCATCAGTGTGGGTTCAGTAGGAAATGTTTTTTGGTCAGAGAGTTGTTCTTTTTTTGTTTTCATCATTGTGCTTTATAGATTTCCAGATTGTTGTCAAATAAAAATCGGTTCTTTTTATTTGCATTGTAAAAATTGGCTAATAAACAATTAAACATGCCCTTGTAATGTTTTTTAAACAAACAACCTTAAACACAATGTTGGAGTCTCATTACAGATTTATTGGTTATAAAAGCAAACAAAATACAAAATAAATAAGGGGCATGTTGGTGAGACACATTCCTTATTTAAACTGTTCCAGTTCCACAGTTTAAATGTCAAATTGACAAGGGCCAGTTCACAGCTGAACTTTTACTTTAGTGCTTGTTTTTCCCAGGCTGCAGTGCAGGAGGCACAGAGTTGACACTGTTTAGTCTTTTACTGGATCCAGGTTTCTTTCCAGCGAGAGGTCAGAGGTCAATCAGTGAGAAAACAGTTTCCACAGTACACATGCCCAACTTTGCATAAGAACAATGAACAAAGCAACACAAGACACAAACGACACTGATTTGTCCTTTTAATTCCCCAGAAGTCTGAGGATTCAAACCCAGAACAGACATGTTGGTAGTAACAGATATGGCTGGACTAAATGTAACGGTGGCCAGATTTTCTCTGAATGAAAATAATTTAAAAGAGATTTGTGTTCCACAGTGTTTAGGTAATTTAACAGAAATTTGATGCCTCTGCTTCTGCATTTCATTTTAGTGGATTCACTCCCATAATAGTTCAGCCCAAATAAGCAAAACACAATACTGTGACGGAGAAATCACTTAAAAAAACATTTCAATATTCCTTTTACACATTGAAATAAGCGAGTGAAACATAATTCATCGTTATAAAAAGCAGCCTGTACAAATGTCGCCTGCCCAACACCCTCAAAGGCGTGGGTTGTAAAATAATAATTCTAGTTGCATGAAAACAAAACAAGATGCACGTGTCCAGTTACACACTCACTGATTGGCTCAAAGGAGACATGCAGCTTCACACTAAAACAAAAAAACCCGAGAATGGTTGAGTCCTGAAATCAGAAATTTAAGATGGGAGGAATCAAGTCTTACCTTTGCAATTACCACTGGATGATGCTAACATAGATCAGGCACTTTTCGGACCCCGTGTTTTTACAGATATCGTACAAGAGTCCACAGAGCTATTTACACTGTCTCACCTGCTGGAGAAACACACAGGGAGAGGGGGGTTCTAACCCCAGGTTCAGAAGGGGTCTGATGTGCATGTGTGCAAGATAAATATCATGCCATCTTCCAAAACTGAGAAGAAAAGGCTTTGAAAAGTTCAAACTCAGTGTTTGCATGATTGAAACTAAGTTTTGAAGCCTTGCATAAATTTTTGGTCAGTTCAAAATACCAGACCATCAGTTTTTTGAGTTTCAGATCAGAGGTGCAGGACAACAGTGCCAAAAATCAAAATCTCTGAAACATTTCAACTCTGAAATAACAGACAGCAGTAAGAGTGCAAGGGTACAGCCACAATGTTGCAAAATAAAGATTTGTTTCAGTTTTTCCAACGGACGTGCAACATTTACGAGGTTTTGAACCTGGATAACAAACAGTCTTGAAGAGGAAAACAAAATAATGCTGACAGATTTTTTTCTAGCCTATAAAAACATACACAGCCTCAAAACTTAATTTCCACCATGCAAAACATTTGTTTTGATCAGATTTCAAGTTTCAACCTTTGAAAAGTTTTTTTTTATAGTTTTGGAATGTGGCACGACATTTGTCCCATACACGTGTAAGTCAGTGTCTGATTTGTGTGTGTTTGTGTGTGTGTGTGTGTGTGTGCGTATGTGTGTGTGTGTGTGTCGTGACATGCAGGGCTCAAGCACTTTAGGTGAGTCCATCCTTCCTTCTAATGTCCTCCCTCCTTGCTCTCCTCCATGACGACGATGTCCCGTGAAAACCTCCTCATGACGCCCGGCGACCTCAGCTCCACATCCTCAGAGTGGGTGGGGCTTGAGTGGTACCCGCGGCGATCGTGCGCTGATGGGGGAGGTTGCTGGGGGTAGTACTGAGGCGGGTAGCCACGATGGTAGTAGGGGTCCTGCTCTTCCTCTCCCTCCTCCTCCTCCTCCTCCTCATCCTCACCTCCTTGGTCGTTGTTGTAAGCCACAGCGGCGGGGTTGTACTGCTGGTTGTAGGGGGGATTGTAGGACTGGTAGCCGCCGTGAGGCAGGGGTTGGACTGGGTGGTGGGAATAGTTGGGATCAGTTTGAGGAGCAGGGATGGGGAGCATGCACAGGTTGAAATGATTCGAAGCAGCTGAGGATCATTATCTTGTATCATTGACTTATGGATCCTAAGATGGCGTCCAAAAGATCGGGATAATAAGGAAGCGGGTTAATGAAATCAGAGGAACATTATGTCTTTATCACATAGTGTCCAGATGTGATCATTTCCCACAAATGAAAACATCACATCTGCGTTAAGTTAGGGGTAAAATTGAGATTTCCTGCTTCCAGCTTCCAGTAGAAGAGATGCACAGATAGAGGAGGTTGGTTGTTAATGAATGCAGCCGACCAGCATCAAAGCAATTCATCAGTGTTTAGCCGAGATTAGCTCTGAAGAGATTTGAGCTGAAAGCGGGGGTGAAAAGGAGGCCGTTGCAGTGATGCATTGTGTGCACGAGTATTTGTTGACAGATGGCGCCGCGATATCCGCTGGTGCTCGTCGTCACAGCAGTGGATTGTTTGGGAAGTAAGCTCATCCATTTTTGTCTCAAGAGGATGAAACACAGTTTCATCAAGAAATTCAGCTGAAAGTGGAAAGCTATCATATCAAATCATGGGTTTTAGACAACAATCTTACGCGGATGTTTTTAAAATCTTTTCAGGCCGTCAGATTCGTTGCCCTCAAAAATTCATGAGAATTTCACTACTCCTGCAAAAGTGAAGTGTATGTTGCGAGAGTAATGGATGAAAAAGAAAAAAACCCACTGCTGCAGGGATTAGAGGTTAAACATTGGGGCCAGGAGTAATTATCCATCCCAAGAAAAATGGAGGCCTTGAGAGAATCATTGAATTTGTCAGTTTTCAGTCTGATGCACAGGCCACAGAGTGAGGGAGGGAGGAGATGAGCACCGGAGAAGGAGGAGGAGGAGGAGGAAGGTTGGAGAATGCTCCTCAGTAATCATTCCTATAGTCCTGTTGAACTTCAGTGAGGAAGACGAGGAGACGGAGGGGGGAGAATACAGGGAGGTGGGGGGAAAAAAGTCAGAGAGAAGATGTTACCTCATATCAGGAGAAAAAAACCCAACGACACCAAAGAGTTAAAGCTCTCAAACCGCACTGACTGAGACTTTTCCAGCTGTTGGGTTGCGGTTTTGGAAGCAGAAAAATTTGTCTTGGACTCTGCGTCTCTCTCTTACAGGAGGAAAACACACAAACCATGACCAATCCTTACAAAAGATTTAGCATGGATAAATATTAAGACATTATATAAAATGTTTGGGAAGATGGAAAACGTGCCAGATCTCTATTTCTCTTTCTTTACGATAGAAAGTGCAAATAGAGATTTCCAGCACAGAAAACAGAAACACAAGAGTTTGTATATCGTAAAGTTAACCAGGGAGCGCATGCCTTGAGAGAGCCAAACATTGTGAGGTGATGTCTGCAGTAACAAACCACAACTGCACCGTTAAACCAATAAATACTCAGTGAACGGTCGCTTTAAAGGGCTCTGTTTCATGCACACAGCACTGAGGTATTTGAAGTTTGAAAAAATAACTCAGTTTGAGGTTTTTAGCTACTTTACATTCAGGGCAGGACAAACTCATACATAAACTTTAACGCTTGTTCATTTACAGTATTACTGTGGGGGTGTATTTCTCCAAAAGAGGGAATACAACCATTAATCTTGAGAATTGAGAATAGAATTACATCTAAATGCATGATTTGCATTTTGCATGAATCTTATCCAAGAAAACACTAATTCTGAAATAATAATGTTTGGATTTGGCAAACAATTGTGTAGGTTTGCTCTCTTGAATCTAAGGTTTGAAAGAAGGCGCTTCAGGACTAAAATCAATAGTTCTGTCTCACAGAAAAAAAAAGAAATGAAAGATTTGTTTATTTATTCCATGTCTGATCAAGAGAAAACATGTATTTATCCTGGTCGTATACCTGCATTTAATCTTAAGATATTTGTTTTATCAGTGTGTAGGGCTTTTTATTATGATATTTTACACTGTATCATTAAACCTAGAAATAATTAATGGTAGATTAATGATGATGTTACCCTCAGTCGTACTTCAAAAAACATAAAGTCGAAACAAATGAAGAATAAGTTTGTCTCACACTAGTTTAACAGGAAGACACATTAAGTTGAAAACTTAACTATCCCTTTCATTGTCACACAGACAAACAAAGCAAATTAGCTGTGAAAGGAAGAAAATACTCCACCGTGTGTTTTACAAGGACAGTTTTTCAAGTTGTCGGAGAGGTCATTCCAAATCCTTCTATCTTAAGTCATGAAATGAAATAACAATTATGAGTGGAATAAATTTATAGGAAATAAATCTGCTTTGACAGATGAAGTAATGTCTCATCCATCAGCTACTTTTAGCACATGATACATCATCAGGATGATGTGTCAGGAGCTGTTAGATGTGTAATGTCCTTGTTGCAGTGGCCCAAGACAACGGAGACATTAAGCTGCAAGGTCATCATCTTTATGAATATTCAAAGATGCCGAGCGTGTGTGTGTGTGTGTGTCTGAATACAGACAAACATCTTTGGTCAGTGACGCAGTTAACTTCTTAATCCACAAGTGTGGACATGAATGTATAAACGTCAGAGTGGAACAACTATAAAAACCAGATGAGTCGGAGAACTTTCACAAGAGGAATCACTATGTCAAGAGACGTCTGTCGCAGAGAAAACAATGTTTGGTTTATGAGATGGAAAGAGCAAAAACGAGCTGTTTGTGTTCATAAATTAGCAAATATAACAAAAAGAAAAGATTAAGTTAATAAGTTCAGTAGTCAGTCACTTTAAATTCATATTATCAAGAATAAGTGTGTCTCACTCTGGTTTAGCAGGAAAACACGAGTACGAATCTGAATTATTCCTACGTATGACTAGTATATATTATTTATTCATGAATTTGTCACTATTTATTTGTCGATAACAACTCCTCCTGCCAGCACACATAAAGATATTGAATGAAAATATAGTTAATGAAAATATGTGTTCATGTATTTGTAGAAGTTGTAATTGTGGACAAATGCTACATTTTAATAAACCCTTAAAATATCCTTGATGTAGCCGATGGCTGTTTTAGTTTTAGCTTATTGAGCTTATTAGATGCTGTTAAGGGGATTTACGTTTGAGTTCATATTTCCTGTTTGTTCATCAAGAGGATTTCTGTCAGCTTTGACACATCTCAGGATTCACAGCATAATATTTTTTGGCAGTTTTGCCAAATTTTGATGAACCTGTTTTTGTTTATATCGTCTGTTTGGATGCTGCTTGGAAATACTAAGTTCTGAAGGGTAAAGTTAAGTAGGACGGTACTTACCTCCAACGTTGTATCCCAGACATGAGTTCTGGTCACAGTAGCCTGGTGACCCGGCTGGTCCGGTGCTACCCGGATTCCCCGGCCTCCCCGCCGTCCCAGGGTTGCCGGGCCGACCAGGTGGACCCTGGCTGCCTGTGCGTCCTTCACCTGGCAGACCTGGGGAAGAAGGAAAAGTCTGCGTTCAAAAGACGGGCGAGTACAGAGAATCCAGCCATCGATAAACATTTGATAAAACGACACCAGCAGTGCAGTGATGGGATCCCGGGTGACAGAGGAAGAGGCGGAAAGTAAAATGAGAAAGTGGCAGCGAGGTTTGATGCTGTCACAGTACTATCACCTCTTCAATCTCCTCTAAATCCCCCGCTCTGCTGCTGCAACAACATGACACAAAATATTAGGGGGCAGCAAATGTTTGCTTGTCATTCCTGGATAAGGGAGATGATAGTGAACGTCCCGAGGGCAGGCGCAGGAATAACACTTCTTAGCTGAAATTTAGCTGCAGGCCACTGTTTTCTGTTTTCACAGACGCACCCCAGCCGTCAGCACAAACATGAAATCTTGAAAAATGTTGAAGGGATGTTTCACTTGCCAAGTGCTAAAATTATCACTCCGCAAATATTCCAGAAAAACACAACAGATGAAGACAGACAGCTTCTCCCCTGTACCGTTGTCTCAGAAAACATTTCCTCTCCTGTACGTCGAAGTTTGGTGGATTTTTTCTAACAGTTATCGGATCACAGAAAAGTTTCCAGGGAGTTTTGTCAGCTTGTTCTGTGAGTATTGATCGCACAATACAGTAAACAGAAAATCCCAGCCCTGAGGGCGACATATTTTCATAACAAACTCAAACTCCACACAGCACGCTGAGAAATCAATACAGAGAATCATATTCACCGTCCAAAACGTCTGCTTGCTTTTCTCTCAGCGGCTCGACAGAGAGTAAACCCCAAACAGATTAGGTCTCTGTGCTATTTAATTCTATTGTTTAAATATTTGAAAACAAATTTTGGTTTGGTTCAGGGGGAATATAATAAAAGCTGTTATACACACAGTAGCTGCATTGGGTCACAGGCTGAAAACACCAAGAATATCACCTATTAATGTAGTTACAGCAACTCCACATGTTATCTGAGCACTGAGGCTGGATTCAGTCTGTCGTGCTCTGACGAGTGTGTGTGTGTGTGTGTGTGTGTGTGTGTGTGTGTGTGTGTGTGTGTGTGTGTTTGAATCTTACCTGGAGGTCCAGGTGGTCCTCGAGGTCCCTGACTCCCAACACCTGGACTCCCCCTCTCCCCCTTCTCTCCTGACAGACCTACAGACACACAGTTAAAAAACAGCCATATTTAGTCACATCTCACTTTGGACACTTCTTGGTGAAGACAGCTCCACGAGGCTTCATTAAGAGTCTGCCTACGTTATTTACATCATACTTTTGAGATTAACCTTAATCATATATATATATATATAATTTTAAACCAGTGGTCCCAACTCTTTTTTACTTGACTCCCTCAGACGTGACATGTGAATTATCAAAGGTTCCACAATAAAGACACTTTGACACTTTTTTGTGTGTTTAAAATAATTTAACAAATCTGAGGTAGATCGATTATGTAGTCTTCCTACTCAATGTGCTTAATACATAGTCAGAGTATTACTGTAACATTGAATAATATAATATATGCATCTGTGACAGAGACTATGTTCCTGCAGAATAAGTGCTTTTATTTCTGTATCTTTTCATTTTTGTAAACATTCATTTTGCTAAAGCATCTGCAGACGCTTTCACCCCTGTTCTACCCCAAAGTCTGTGTTGCGTTGCAGTGTTGCAGAAAAGTGTTGCTTGAATTATGCCTGGATGATATCTAATATAATGTATGATAAACCCAGTTGGCTCTTAGTACTGCAGCAGTTTGAATCAGCAAATGGAATTTTTGTTGCACTCTAATATAAAAGAACCACAACTGTGATCTGCAGAGTTTCTTTTCTGTGCGTTTATGTCCGTTTTAATCAACTGCATCGATAAAGAGGAAGTCAGAACAATGAACCCAAGAGAAAATATTTAACATTACCTCTAATAAAAAAAGTTTATTCTCAACAGTGTCAGCTTCGCCTTGTTCTCTCTACAATGGCCTACTGGCTCACTCCATAGTTTCTCTCCGAGCAGGACAATATTAAGTTTTACATGGATTTTTATTTCAACACTGGTTTCTTTCGTTCCTGATTCGTGTGTCTATCCTACATAACATCTGTAATAATAACATGTCTACGTTTTATAAGCCATCCATCTTTTGTAATATTTGTCCTACTCTGGTTTCATTTCAGCCTGTTAAAAAGTTATATCTCTGTGTGTGTGTGTGTGGTGTCTGTGGCTCCCGATAATAAATGTTATGGAGAGAATCAAAGGTCTGAGTTGTGGAGGAGGACGTAACTGCTGGACTTTTCCTGATAGAAGTTCTGCCGCTCTGCTTTCCTCGCCCTGTGTGTGTGCAGGCTCGCTCAGACTGTGGTTGTTCAGTGTGGGCTGCATGTTTTAGTGATGAAGACGGAGCCTCATAAAGGCTGTTTCTTGTCTTAGGGCTCGTGGCAGAGGAATGACTTAATGGATGTTGGAGTTATTGTCCTCTGGTTTGGACTGAAGCTTGTGGGAGCTCTGACCTTCACTGTGAGTTTGTGTGGTGAAATCAGGCTGCAACATGAAATACACCAAACAAGCAGGTACACTGAAGATCCAACTGGAGAAATAGAAACATTTTTGTATCTCTTTTCAAAGTAAAAGCCTTACAGCAGACAATGAAATTGCACCACTTTACACATGTAATGCATTGGATATTTTTGCAACGATTTGTTTGGATGCTGCAGTTTATCACTGTTGTGTTGTGCTGTTTGTTGTTTGATTTATCACAACAACACACGTTTATAGAGTGAATAACCATTCTCATCTGAACAACTGGCTCCTGCTTGGAAGGAGCTTTTTTATTTTGTGCCATTTATAAAAAAAACACATGAACCGGAAAAGTGGCAAAAGAAACGAAGAGGAAATCAAAACACTGACCAAAAAGCAGGTTGTGAATTGTTAGAAATATTGTTTAGGGAATGGCCAGAACACATTTCTACACACAGTCTGTGTTAATTAAGATACAAAGGCATTTTAACTCCATTGTAATGCCAAATAATAAATTCGATTATTAGATTATATATATTTGAAATAGTTTGGAGCAGTTAATTATATTATTAAATATTGACATCTATTTGCAGTTAATGTCTCATTGGGGTCTACACATCTTAAGAGTATAGATCGATTTAGCATTTACCACCGTCGGACAGTTTAAAGAATAAATACAAAGTTGATGCATCAGAACCAAAGATACTGTGTTTTTTTAATTCCACATATTCATCTTCCTTGTTCAAACCAGGCATCTATATTTCCTACAGGATTTTCACACAATTTCTTTGACAAACACGAGATCACTGCAGTTAACTTTGCTTAATGTGTCTCTCCTCCTAGTTTTGGTGACTTGTGTAGGACGGATGGCCTTGGATCATTGTATAGAAAATTAGATTTAAATATTTTTTTATAAAAAACAACCTTACACATCTCCCTCTCTCACCTCTCTCTCCTGGTCGTCCACTCTGACCGTTGGTACCAGGGAAGCCTGGTCTGCCTTGCGGTCCTTGCTCTCCCTGGGGTCCCGGGTTGCCTCTCCTACCCGGCTCCCCTGGTGGTCCTGGAACTGTCCGGACGGATACCGCAGACTGGGCGGGGATCTGGTTCAGTATGGAGTTATAGCGAGACAAATGGCCTGCAAAAGGTGGAGGCATAGGTTTGAAATCATTCAGATTAAGATTATGCTTTTGGTGGTTCGAGTTTTTTTTAATAACAAGAATATATATATATGTCTATTTGTGTGAATGTTTTAATAGCACTGATTACTCACTCTGGATGAGCTGTTCACACACTTGTCGTGCGATGGCACGCACAGCAGCCTGGGATTGCACATCACCCTTAGGAACAAGCAACAAACACACACACAGTTCTTAAAATGTGACAACACACAACCACACAGTAGATTGATTCCAGTTTTCTGTCAGAGCGACCACAGGAACACTTGCTTCCAGACCAGAGGTTGATAAATTAGTGGGCGTGTGTTTTGTGGGTGTTTTAATGAGCGTACTGCACCTTTATTCCACACTCTGACGTCCCTTTATATAAATAGGACAGAACAGACCACTGAGAGCAAAGTAGAGAGTATCTAAGAATTACACAACTATATTATACAATATGTAACTACATTTCATTATATATATATCTGGCAAAAGCTGTTGAGTCTGACTGTGGCTCCACTAAACTATGGGTCTTTTGTAGATAACACATGTCTACATGTTACTACAGCTGAAATTAGCTGTAGGAAAGTGTCAACACATCAAACTGAACTGCTGGAGTTTTTATTTGACAATGTTACGGACAATTCTTGTTACAATTTTAAAGGGACACGTCACCAATGTGGTAAAGTACTGGAAAGTGTCTGTATGGGCATCTATCATTTATTTTACAACAAATCAGAACATAATGTACGAAATGAACATTATGTTGTATTGAAGAAGACTCGAAACTCGAGATAGAGACAATAAACGTCTTCTAACAACCAGTGGAGTCGCCCTCTGCTGGTCATTCTAGAGAGTAAAGGTTTGCTTCACTTCCCTTAAGTCCAAGTCCAATTTTACATTCAGTCTATGGTTCCTCTCAGTGTCCAAAGGATTAATTTCACGACCATTAATTGTGAATATGAAAGTAAATGTCAGTAATTAAGTGGCGACGTCAATAAGCCAGGATTGCTTCAATCCCCCTTGAGACCCAGTATGAACTGTAAGACACACTGGTGGTGATTCTTCTGATTGTATTAGATAATTAGAGAGTGAAGGGCCTTACTTGATATCTAATTTAGGATCAAGTGAAATTGGATTATAATCTAAGATGATAACTGAACTGGTATCTAACGTTTGGACTTTTCTGGATTGAAGTCGAAACTGATTCTTAAATCTATTAAAAGAGCTTTTCCATTGATTCACAAATTAAGTTGATGGTACAATAATTAGTTCTGAGGCTGTGGAGGAGAATTCTTAAATATGAAAAATGAATAACCCTGAGATTGTCAAACAAAAGACACTACTGAGATGCATTATGGGAAATGAAGGATCCAGTGTTTTTGGAGCTGGATCCATACAAGAGAGTGAATGTTTGAGCCACTGTCGCTCTGATTTTGAGCCTCACGAGTTGAGACGTGATTTTTATACAGATTCATCTAGATTTACTTCTTTTACCATTTAAATCTCTACCTCTTTACGCTGCTCTTTTTAATCTCTTTTATTTTCCTCTTTTTTACTTTTTGTTTTGAATTGTGCTTTTATACTTTAAGTTTATTGCACAGCACCTTGAATCTTGTATGAACTGGGCTTTATAAATAAAACTGCTTTGCCTTGTGTTTGGAGTGGACTTGGTCTCAACTCTAATATAAGATGTATAAATTATAACATTAAAAAGTACAGTTGATTTAATTGAAGTGGCCTCGCTGCTTTGTGAGGTTTAGAGTGTTTATATGAATTCAACAGCTGGCAGCCTCCTCTTCTGCTTTGTAGTAATCACCACCATTCAGTCGTTAGATTGTGTGTAGAAAAATACATTAGGAAAAATGCTTTATCATAAATGTTTACTTTCCTCGTGTTTAGTTGGTGCCATATAAAACACTGAAGCTGAATTCACAACCAAACAACCTCACACAAATGTGTAACACAGACTTTCTTCTTGAGCTCTGCACCAAAACAACCTGCAGCGAGGTACATTAGTTGATAAAAATGTAGCAGAAACAGAAATTACAGGTTTGATTCAAGCTGGCAAGTGGCGCGTCTCTGGAGCTCTTGTGAAGCGACTGTGTCAGCAAAAAAATCATTCTGCTGCAAATTTGAACCATGAACACTGATTTGATTTGGTTTGCTCTAATCGAGGCTGAGGGGGAGAAATAAAGTGAACGTTTGTGCAAGAGACAAATGGGAAACAGTAAATGTGTTCTGCAGCGTAATTGGGTTCCTTCAAAACAAGGGTGCGGAGCATTAGTGAGAAATTGCCGGAGATTTACTCCGGCGAAATAACGATATTTTCACAGCAAAATGGAGCCGTAAAAACCTGATTTGCTCTAAACACAGCGTTTGAGGTGTGTGTGAGTGGAAAGACTTACTCTTTCTCCCTTATCGCCTTTGGTACCAGCAGGACCCTGGAACATAAAAGCACAGGAGGAGAACAAACATTGGACTGGGATGTGTACTCAGAAACAGCCATGCTCATCTCTCTTTCCCTCTCTCCTTTAATGCCCCCACCCATTATTTACTTTATGTCTCTTCACACACTCTATTTCTACTCTGATCTAACATCTGGTGAAACTACGTGCCGCTAAATTTTGACAATGTTCGTCCAGGTTCTTTACGTCGTAAAGACAACACGTGCATCAGGCCCATAGCTGGTGTGTGCCCACACTCCCAGTCTGTGTGTGTCCCCGGATGGGCTCTATTCTCTTCTGCTGCCAATGCTGTAAATACACACATGCATATCTGATCACAACACACACTCAAAACCCAGCCAAGCACATAAAGCCTGTGAATGCATATAACTGTGTAATGCAATGTAATCCGCAAGCAAATAAAAGACAAATATTTCCTGGCCACAGAAGCATGTGCTGATATGATGAATATCAGTTTGATGTTAAAGCTTCTGAATAAAGGCTTGTTTGTCTTGGAGGGACACGTCCTTGACCACTGGCTGACTGCCTGTGTGAGTGTATATATATATATATATATCTGTGTATATATTAGGATAGAGAAAATGTGTGTGCAGACCTGGCATATCATATGCATTATATTGTAGCCTGTGGCAGAATTTGACACAGCTGCTGAAGTGTCCAATTTTAGGTCTCCACAAAACAAGTCTCCTGGATCTCCGAAATGTCTACTGTCTTCTTAGGTCAACATGGGAAAACTCAATTAAACTGTGTCAGAGCCAAAGTAAGTATCAAAACATAAGACACTATCTCTCTCTCTAAAGAAATCTGATTTCTTTTGTTATTCTATCAAAATTATTTTCCCATAGTGCCCTGTGTTAGTAGTCTGCCCAAAGTGGAGTAGATGTTTTCTCAATCAATATGTTTTACAGTTTATCCACAGAGTGTTTATGAAGACTTTCCTCTTGCACAGCGCCTCAGTGTAGAATGATAAAACAGTCAAAAAAGGTAACTGGCAAACACAGGGCTGCTCACTACCAAGTCAAGCAAGACAAATAAATAAAAAGCGGGTTGAATCACTGGAAAGAACATTTAGAAGCAGCAGTACTTTGTCTGGGTTCGACACACACTCAGGATATCACCAAGTGCGATGACAAGCTGATAAACTCACTGCTGCAGCTGTAAATACAGAGGTATGCACATCTGGTGACAACTGCTGTGAGTTTTGGCAAAGTGTGGGTCAATGAAACAGCAGCTTGAACTTGAAATTTATTATCCAAATGTCTAATGAAGGTTGGTTGGTGTGACATCTGTCTCATCTGGCTCCTCTGCCTTTGACAACTTGGACCAGTTGACTAGAGATTTTAGACTTCCTGTACACTAAACATAAATCCTATTTTGGGTTATGAACTTTCATTACATTTCCAGATGCGTCATGTCTTTCCTTAAGAGAACAGTTTTTGATGCCACACATAAGGTTGAGATATTGACAGGGCTTGAGCTTCTGCAACTTTGAATCTTTCTTTATATCTCATCTTGTCTTCAGTGGTTTAAACTCACTGTCCTTGCACACATTTGTCAGTGCGGAGCATGTGTCCACTCCGACAGAACTGTTAGAAAAGAGTTCCACAGTGTTCCTTCAGGTCAGCTGGAACATGATGAAGCAAAATGCAATATTTCCCCGCAGATTTAAATGGATGAAATTTCTGATAAAAGCCTCTTGTTTTAGCATAAAATCTTTCTCTCTCTTGCAGCAGCAAAGGGTTACCGAGGCTACAACGAGACCTGATCAGCAATTCAATGCTGAGGTTTGAAAAGTTTGAAACAAAAAAAAGGTAGAAGTTGTTCAGGAGATTAAAACTCCAGACTGTCTGTGTAGTAGCTGCATGTCCATACATTCATATGAGGCATCTGTGTCTGTCAAAGTTTTGGAGATGAGGCAGATGTGATCGCTCATTGGTTTTGTGAGAGTGTTTGTGTCTGGGTGTGAGTTGGGGGAGAGCGAGTCGGTTAGTGATTTATCACTCCCCCTCTCTGAGCCAAACTTTGCTGCTGGCCTGCAGAGCTGACCTGAGACTAGATTAGCTGTCACCAACATCACAGCATCATCTGTTCCTGTTAGCATTACACAAGGCTTGGAATGCAACATCTCCTCCATCCTTCTCTGGGCTTGTGTTGTGTCACTTGCACATCTTTCTTCCTCTTTTTGCAGAAGTGAACAAAACATGACTCACTTTACTCTTAGAATTAAAGTTTTAAACCTTAACAGATCATCATAATATCATTGTTGCACATTGCTGTACACTGTTGATGTGCACGGACATCAGCACACTGTGGTTGCACACTGCAGGCTGTCTGTGTCTAATGAATGGTGGACTAAAAAAAAAAACACATTCACTTTTGACCTTGCATGAAACATAAAATCTCTACTTCTACTTCTCAAAACACACTCCTCAACATTCTGCACACTCACACAGCTGATATTACAGTCAGCTACATGTGGCTTCACCACTGAATTCCTCATCAGCTCGGTGAAGCACATTTACACACGTTTACCTTTCTAACTTTGACATAACCTTGTGTTTGCATTACTCACTTTTCAATACCTGGAAATATAGTACATAGACATTAACACAACATGGCTGCACACTGCAGGTTTTCTGTGTCTATTGAATGGCACAGGTGCCCCATACGTTTCACTCAGAGGACCCCCTAAGCTGCCCAACCTATTAATATCTTTTATATACATGTATAAATGATATATCAGGTAAACATCAGTGAGATTAAGAATGAACAAAATCATAACCCAAAATAAATAAAATATGTCTATTGTCCATTAACATGCCCAACATAACCGTGTGTCCGGCATTATTATTTCTTACGTCTCACCTTATGAACTAGGATTTGTCTTTTGGATCATCTACAGACATCAGCTAACTAAGCTGACTTAACTAAAATAAATGATAGCTGTTAGGGTTAGTTTGTGTGATTTGAGTCCAACACTAACAGACTGGTTGCAGTTCCAGAGAAGAGAGATCAGAAAGTGGAACAGGACAAGGAGGAGAAAACAAATCTATAAAAGTGTGAGCTCCTTGTCAGTTTTGGAATCGAACCACAGTGTTATTTGTATTTAAACAAAGCTGCAACGTGCTGCGGCTCTGATGTTGCTGTTCATGCTCTGTAAGTGCAGGAAGGCATGATGAGAGAAAAACATCCAAAGAGGAGAAATCAGAAGGAAGAGGAGGACGTGGTGGAGGTCACGTCCTCCTTGTTTCATCGTTAATTTGGATATGTGGTGTCAAATTCTCCTGAGCAGATTCACAGTGATAATGTGTCAGAGGAGTTAGCATGCTTCTTTGTAATAGAACAAAACAAACATGCATTTTAAGTTCCTGACTCTTTTTGTGCAAAGGTTAGGTAATTTGGTTCGGGTCAGGTCATGGTGACAATACAGTGTCAGCCCACACAGCAAAGGCAATATTTCATGTATTGTAACTGAGTTTGTGTCTCACATAAATTATGAACACATTTATTTATATTTATTTACTCACAGGAAGCCCTTGTTCTCCTTGGGACCCTGCTGATCCACCCGATCCTGGAGCTCCAGGTGCACCCGGGGCTCCCTGAGAGAATGGAAGATGAGCAGTAGGATCAGTTAGTCCGCCTGTGAGGATGAGTTGCCAAGAAAATGACACTGAGGAAAAAAAAAGGACTTACAACGGGTCCAGAAGGTCCTTGTCGTCCTTGTGGTCCAATATTTCCTGGAAGACCCTGAAAGGGCAGGAGTGAAATAAACAAAATGTTTAAAATATTAGTATGTGCAATTTCATAAATCTATGTTGAATTGTGTTATGGACAAACCCTCTCTGAGAGGCCTGAGTAATCTCCCTCAAGTCTCCAGACTAAACAAACACTAACAGTGCTATTTTGTAATACAATTAACATCCAGACTTCTGATGTAAACCAAACTCAGCAGCTGTTGCATCTGCTTCTTCTACTGGTGATGTCCAACCTCTCATCCACCAACACCTGCCCTGTATCAAATGTTTAGAAAGACTGGACAGACACAGCAGCGTTCTTCCTGACTGTACGTTTCTTCGCTGTTAGACTGTTGACTTTTACATGATCTGAATTTGAGTTGCCTCAAGGTGAGTTAAACCCTCAACCACTAATTTAATGTCTTCTCCATGACACTGTGAGAAAGAAATATCAGCTCTCACTTCAGAAGCACATATTACAATTCTGTGGGCTACTTGTACGGCATAACAACATGATCATGATATTTAATAACTCAATAATGGCTGTATGGTGTCTTTATATTTATGGGTCATTCAGATTGAACACATTCTTTTGTAATTATATAAAGTTTTGAAATAAATCTCAGCTTGTTCTGGAAAACCGTTTTACTTAGGTAATCCTGTTCGCTCGGATGTCTGTCGTACTTTGTGGTCACGCGTTGAGTCTGATGCCCATTCAACGTGGACACTTCTCATATAGTTCCTGATTTTAACTGAGTGAGGGAACAAGTCATCATACATTACAAACAATGAAAAGACGTATGAATGAACATACAACGCAACTGATGGACAAAATGAAATTGAAGAAGATGGAGTTAATGACCATCCTGCAGTTGCATGCCTCAGCCAACCAGTTCAGATTCCATCTATGACCTTGACCTTTGACCACCAAAATCTTTGAGTATAATTGAAGAAGATAGACAAGACAGACAACCTAAAAACATAATGCCTCCAGCCACTGGCTTCTGCCACTTGCTGCAGTTTGCTCTTTGCTTCCTTAGCATTTTTACTGGATGTGTGTTAAGTCCTGCTTATACAGTTACTCATCCCATCCAGTAAACAAAAGAGGGATGACATACTGTATCCCTGAGTGGCAATCCTCTGGTGTTACATCCTAAACTTTTGCCAAAGCAGCATTGTTAAAATCTAATGGGAAGCTTTACCTTCCAAAAGAATACAACAATAGTAAGTTCTTTACACACTAACATAAACCATAAGCTTCTCTGAAAACCTCAGCCACATCAAAAACCTCCTCGAGGGGAGTCACTCTGGAGTCACACAGTAAACACTCGACCAGAGGCCTGAGCTCACGTCAGACACGTTTTACTTTGGAATCCTCTCAGACTGAGCAAAAGCACGTCTGGAACAAGATTCACCAGAATCCTAACACAGAATAAAGGTCACAAAATTCCCTATTGTGAGGCAAACAAGCATTTGATGTGGTACTGGGACATGACTCGGACTGTTGTCACACAATAAAGACTCCAGTAAATCACAGTAAAAGCTCCAGTTGTGGACGTATTTGAGACACAGTTTATGGATCTAGAGCTGGAGCATAATGCAATGTCAAAATAACACACACGCACACTATATAACATTATAATCCAGAATTTGGTAAAGTTTTTTTTTCATTCGAGGGTAGAATAAGAAGTCTTCTCTCACAGGAGTCAGGCTCATGAAAATGTATCGCATTTTTCCAAACCGAGCAGCATCCGGTTTATGGTCTGACCTACGGTCTCGGATATTGGGGTGAGGCTAATCTAATTCAGAGTTTTGTATGCACGCCGAAACAGCCAGGTTCTCTCTGTGTAACCTCTATTCATAGAAACTGCACTTTTTATTTGTATCCAACTTTCTTTGCAAAGGGCTTTAAGTGGAGCTCAGAAACTCAGGTACAAATGTGATGAGAACTGTACCTGCTCAGTGCTGGATGATTTACTAGTCAGCATATATCTACTAGTTTTTACAAGCATGGATTCATGAGCAAAACCTAAATCTATTCAGTTGAGACAGCTCTGCAATTAAAGTTTCAATGACAATGTTTCCCCTTGATATAGTATTTGTGCATATATAATAAATATATATAGAAGGTCTGCAAGAAAGCCCCAAATCCATAGTAAAGGGAAAACACTGCTCTGCATGATACTTCTGGAGGATTGTGATGTCATGATGCCCCACATTTGAATAATGCACTAACCCCCCCTCACAAAGCCAGGTAAAGCGAGAGCAGAGGTCGAAGTGGTTGACCAATCACAACAGAGTGGGCCAGCTGGCCAATTAGAGCAGACTGGGCTTTGTCGTTGGAGGGGTCTTACTGTAAAAAGACAGGAGTTAAAACCAAGCTTTTCTGACAGAGGTGGAAATGGACAGTGTGAGGGATGTGATGTGTTCTCTCAACCTTTTAATTAATAATTGAAATGATGAATCTGAATATGTCTTCTTTAAGTATGGTGTAGACAAATGAAGTTGGAGATAGTTACTGTTGTTTCACCTGATAACAGACTGCTGCTGTACAATCTTCCTTTTTTACTCTCAGCCAAATCTTTTTTATTGCTTGTATACATATCACAAAATGTTTGTACTGTGTGTGTGTGTGTGTGTGTGTGTGTGTGAATAGGGATATCTGTGTTCGCCTTTCGCCATTCTACAAATCACATGACACAGATGAGTGGTTGGGATAAATTCCCATCAAGCAGCAGGGATTTTAAAACGCTGCTTCTTGTTCATAATTACTGTTCAGTGGAAGATATTCAACTTTCTAGATCACTGTCAAGTCAATAACGCAGTAATATCAGAATCTGCTGTGGCATTGACAAATTCTTATCAGCCTTCACTACCTCACCCTCCGTTCCGTTTCAGTGCATTAAATGAGAATAAACACTTCAGTTTCTGCTGGAGGCATCAGTGTGTGATACTGCAGTTAATTCTGCAGAAATAAAAGCACTGATTTGAGATGTTTCCTGTCTTGTATGGAAGATAAATCGTAATTAGTTCTTTGTGATTCTAAAAACACAACCATTGTATTCTTTCTAGTCGCCTCTACAATTTAAAAAAATATAATACACACAACAGATCTACAGCATCTTGATGGAGTATGAATGTGGGAAGCCGTGTCATAATTATTGTTGAGAAGGGGATGTCTTTCCCAATTGACAGCAGCTAAAATTGCTCCTTGATTAGTAGTTTCACATGATTACACTTGATAATTACAAGCACTGCATTCGGTTATACAGTGCAGTCGGCTAATATGAGAATTTGAACATGACTGTATTCAGTTAAATAAAGAACTAGGCTTAATTTAAGATATTGTATTTGAATAGTGGTTCTAAATAATACATTTAGTTGCACACATTTTTACTTTGGTTTATCTTATCAGAGGATCTGAGAACCACATTAACACCAACAAAGAGCTGGCGTGTACAGATAAAACCTAAAAGTACAATGTATGAAAATGATGTTCGGATAAAGTAAAATCTGATATAATAAAGATGAGCTTCAGGTTGATGGGATTCAGTCCACCTTTTCATCTTTAATCTTTATCTTTTAAATAACAGTTTTAAATAAGGCGGAATTTGTGAAGAGTTTATCAAATTAATTAACTAACAATTAATTAACACAGAAGACACATTGTTTTTCCTACATTGACATGTCTGCTGTGAAAATGCACCAGCTGATTTTGTGGTTTTAAATTAAAGATGGAAGTCTATCCGTTGACTCAAATACATTCATTGTTTTTGGAGCCAGCCTGTATTGACAAATTTAAATCCTTCTTTAAAAAAACTCTGCAGTGGCTTCTGTGGTGTCTGTGCAGATCAGTTAATAGAGGATGGGATTGTAGTAGTTCATCGTGAGCATGTGTACATCCTGTGCCTCGGAGCGAGAAAAAAAAGGATGGTGTGTTGAGCACATAAATAAATTGACTGTAAGTGGTAAAATGGTTTGTATTTATAAAATGCTTTTCCAGATTATCGACCACTCAAAGTGCTTTACAATACAAGTCCCTTTCAGCCATTCATTCACACAATCATACAGCAATTCTATACACAGGGCTTTTTCTATTACACACCATTCATACGATGTCAGCACGGCCGTCAGAGGCAATTTGGGGTCAGTATCTTCTCCAAGGACACTTGGGAAAGCAGACTGGTGGAACCAGGGATGGCAACAGTGACCTTCTATTTAGTGGACGACTCTACCTCCTGTCACCCGACAGTATGTCATCAGTGATGAATTTAAAAGTCCTAGAAAAGTCAAAAGAACCATGTGGATCTGTCCAGTGGATTGTCTCCACCAGCTGCAACGTGGCTGCAAGGTAATCTTAAGGGGCAACAGTGACCGAACAGTGACCGTCCATGATCGATTCTAGTAGTATTCGTTAGTACCATTCAAATTCACACTGACATTTATAAAATAGGGTTCAGGTTGAAAAATGCCAGAATTTCGCATTAAGCTGGAAGTCAATTTGAAAACTCGTAGCTGCTAAGGGCACCTTCAACAAACCAAAGTAAAATTTGAGTCATGTCTTTCCCTTGGATTTCAAACCTGTATCGCACAGCGAGAGGAAACCAACCAATCCAAATACAAGCATTCTGAAGGAAACCACATGACAAGCCTGAAAACTATGTATGACGTCTTCTGAAACCCGCCACCGAGGGGAGCATCTGGACCCCTGTCATCCAAAGGACAGACAGCAGATGGATTATGTGTAGAGACTTTCCCTGCGCCATGGAACCAGGAACCAGGACCAAACTCCTCTGTTATCATATTATGCATTTGGATAAAACCTCCTTTTTCTGCTCGCCGACACATCACCCTCTGGCTGCCTCTCTGCTCTGGTATTTACAGTCCTGCTGGGTATTGTACGGCCTGATTCCTCTGTCAGCATCAACTACAGTGAGCTGGTATCACAGAGCCTTCATGAATGGGATCTGGACCACTGTGCACATTGTGTTCAACAGCGAAAGGCAGCAAGTCCTGTTTTTAGCCACTGGGGGAAGACTTGCAAAGTTTTATGTGAAGACACAAAACCAACTGTACACAACTGGAAAAGTATCACAAATATTTTCTTGAAGGTATATCATGGAGAACTTTTTAAATAAAAAACAAATATTGTATATGTCAATCATTTATTTAGCACCTGGGACCAGTTTTGACAGTTTTTTCTTTCTTTTCAAACTTCTATGTTGTTTTGTTTTGCTATTCGTACCTGCCTTTTCTCCTAACCATCTCCAAATGGGACTTTCATATCTCAGAGCACCATCTACTAACAGTAATGATGATGTCTGCAGAAAGATATGCTACTATGATCATACCCATTTATCTTTGGGAAGTTTACATTTTTTTCCATCTTCACAAAATAACGGCCCACTTTCAAGATCTTTACACCCCATTTAACCCAAAACTGAATAGAAAAAGACTTATTTTGTCATAAACTGTGCCTCTACATAAGATATATCAGATACTATAGATGAATAAATCCATGTCATAAAATGAAAGACTCCACCATTTACAATATCATAAAGTAGAACTGTAACAGAGCACAACAGTAATCAATAGAGTTGATGTTGATGTCATTATCTCACCCTTGCTCCTGGGGGGCCGTCTCTACCAGGTGAGCCTTGGCCTCCAGGGACACCCTGAACAAAACACAGCAAGCAGCTTTTAATCCCATGACAAAACCCAACAATGTTAACAGACAGTACAAAAAATGGCTTAACATTTAATGAAGATATAAAGTTACAAAACAAAGTGTAATTTTTGATGACAATAGCTAAAATATGAATTCAAGTCGTGATTAACAGTTTTTCCTCATGATCACTTTTTTCACATGTTTATTATTGATTCAAGTCCATTACTGTGCAGGACTTCATTTAAAAATGCACTTCATCTGCCAATTTACATCCATTATAACAAGGGATTTCCTGAAAATATTAAAAATGCATTAGAGGACATTAAACGAAAAGGTCAAAAACAGATAAGGGTTCCTCAGTCCTGCTCAATGATACTTTGACACATGTGAACATAAATTTGATTTGTGCAAAGAAGCAGCTTCTAACCATCTGAACAAAAGACAGTCTCTATATCAGGCCACCCTGCTTCTCCTGCACCATTTCCCCTTCATCCACCTCTCTGCAGGTCAGTGCACACAGTCAATTCCAAAATACAGTCATGGATTAAGTGTTGAGGTGATTTATCTCTGCACTTCAGTATTAGTGGAGAGCTCATAAAACAGGACAGTTAACACTGTTAGAAGGTTCCACAAATTACAGCATGGGGGTCACAGAGGACAGGCCTCATATGATTAATGATGGACTGTTGTTTAGATGCTAACTGTGCATTCACACACACAAACACGTGCGCACACGCACGCACACACACAGACACACACACACACACACACAAACACACAAAGTAAGCCTTCACATCTGCCCAAACCCACACTGAAAAAAATATCTATCCTAACATTCCATATGACGAGTGAAAAAAAAATTGCCTGTGCCGAGTGGATTTCAACTTCTTTTGAAGAAAAAATACTTTAATCTGTTTTAAAAAGTTGAAACAAGTTGATGGGAAACCAATTTTTCATCAGTTTAAAGAGAGAATAAAACTAAAGCCCTTGATAAGAAGGTTTGTTTTAACAAATTGTATTCTACACCTCCACTCTCTGTACAATGCACTACAGTGTAGTTCTAGTTGCACATTAACGTGTATTTCAACAAATATAACAGCAGAGATACAGCAACCATAATTGTGTTTAACTGTTTAAATGAATAATCAACAACAACATGAAGAACTTGGAATCAACTAAATATTATATCTATAATCAATACTATTAACACTTCATCATATCACTACTGACCTGTTCATACATCAGTTACAGAGGCTGCTTACATCAGCATGACAGTTAATTTAAACCATTTATTAAAGAACTAGTGTGACTTTTGGGAAATATGCAATATGATCTATTGATTGATAGCATGCTCACGTCTACCTGTTAAAAAATATGAAGGTACAGTCGAGAGGAAGCAACAAGACTGGAAACATGAATATCTTAAATCTTAATGGATTAATAGGAGAGTGGTATCGACCTTCTCTGGAATTCTCTCAAAAGAGCGAACAAGCATATTTCCAAATATATATATATTTATACACACACACTGCTTACATGCTCAATTGAGGTGGGGATTAAAGCTCTGTGGCTGGCATGAATCCCAGAATACAACAAACACACATCTTCTCAGTACACACACACCAATCTGAGCCTCTCAAACAGGCCTTGAGAATAATGTGAGCAAGATGAAAAAAACGTCTCATCAGAAAAATCGAGCGCACAAGTGATTCTGATTCAACACATTAGCCTTTTTCTTTGCACCGCTCCTTGTGTCCAACAGATAAATTGATAAATAAGAAGAAGATCCATAAAGACCCAAAGTTTAAATTATTGCCACACAAACACAAAACTGATAGCTGGATAACACCACATATACCCACACCAACAGACACAATGAAAGTGAGAAACGAGGACGACAAACACACACACAAACAATATTCAATATTCATTGCAGCTGCATTTTTCATTGTCAAATTGAAACCGAGGTGGAAGGGACGCTGATGACAAGGTTACATTGTATTTACTGCAGTGAGAAACAGAGGGAGGGAGAAGAGGGGTGAGACAGGAGGAGAGAGAGCGCAGCGGTGAGAGAGGGAGAGGGGGGGTAATTGATGATTTTGAGTTGTGATATTCTCTGTGGTCCCTCGTATATTACAACAGGGCCCTGGAAGCTACAATATTCCCCCGCTGAGCCATACGCACACGCACGCACAGCAACAAACTCTCTCTCTCTCTCACACACACACACACAC